CTAACATGTTGGTGATATGGATCAAATTCAATATTTTGTTCATTTAAATTTAAAAAAATTTTTTGTAGCATATTATCTAAAATTTTATATACAACAATAAACTTTTTTTAGTTTGTTCTTATACTTTAACTTGTATACTATTTTTTTTTTACTAAGCTTATAACTACTTTATTTTTTTGACAAACATTTGCTTTTCTTTTCATACTAAAAATGTCGAAAAGACGAATAATTGACTTTTAGTTATGATCGGCAACAAAATTTAAACCAATCATAAAAATCCGAGGCGATAAATTTCAGCCAATCATAAGGTGCTTGTCCGCGTTATACGTCACTGTTTCACGCGTTATAAAAAATTACAAAAAAAAAAAAATGCTTTGTATTCATTCTCCACATATACTAAACTTTAAGATGAAACTTAAAAAGGAATGCAAAATCCTCATTGCTGATCCTGATATTTTATTCATGAAATCCATATATCAAGTACAGTATATTGTTATTTTAAATTGATACTAATCTTTTACTTAATCCTTTTAGAATATTGGGAAACTGTTTCGACACCAACTTTGCTTAGTTTTTTGGAATATAGAAAGAAGGCGGTAACTGAGCGTCTTTTTAAGGAACAAGAACATTTACGATATCAAAAAGATTTAGAAACGATCGTGTCATTTTATGTAGTAGGAACTAATTGGAGTAACATTGCGACTCTTGCAATAAATAATTTAAAGGTATGTGCGAAAAGACATATTATTAGGGTTTATGAGGCAAACCAAGGGTGCATCATTGGCTACTGTACAGGTTGCGTACTTGTTATGGGAAAGGCTGCGTGCTTGTCAATGAGCATTGATCCGGAATGGTTCTATGGACAATTTGTGTTCCCCTCTGTTGGGGGCTTTAAGCTTAGTGTCTTCACTTCATTGAAGTCAGGACGCCTAGGGGGCTATAACAAAATGTCGTGTTGGACTGTGTTTTCATCAATCTTAGTAGGAAGTTTTATTAACTCATACCTCCTTCTTATAGAATGAGAAAACATCATCTCAAGTCAACGATTTCTGGTCTCTAGAATTGGAGGGTTTTAATTATGAAGCTGTTACAAGTGTTGAACAGAAAAAATTGGAATTGTTAAAGGTATATATAAATTGATAAAAAAAAAATTGTTTTCATTTTCAAAAAAATAACTTCTTGCTAAATTCAGACATGTGGTAAAATACAAGCATACCAAACGGGAAACAATTATCTCTTGAGAACCTCGACTATAGTTGAAAAAATGAATCTTAATAATCTTGATGAATCATCTGATGGACATGACAATATAATTAACCATCCAAATGATATCATTAGTATGAAAAATCCATTTTTAGAAAATAGTCAAATCAATGTAAATACTGGCAGGACCATGACTGAACTAGAAACCATAAATTCCCAGAGTATAGGAAAACGTGCGCATAAGGATGAAGATCATGATGTAACAAAAAATATATTTGTCGACTATTCTAAACACACATTATTGAAAACATATTGCAAGTTACTTTTCGATTTACAGGATCATCATCTGGAAGAGGATTCACAACGTGCTCGGCATCTGGCTATAATGTTAGAATGGCATGTAGTAGATTATGAATTATTCAATGAAGCAGGTTGGATTGAAAATCCACTGCTAATTAATGTCTCAGTTCCATGCTTTTGTTTTAAATTGGTTTCTGATGTATTGAGACAACATAGTAATTATCGACTTCACCAAGCAGTTGAAATACTTCAAAAATTGGAAGCAAAAAACATTATCAGAAACAATGATTATGACTGGATCCCATCTTTCACTTTAATTAAACGGATTTTTGGTCAGGGAATGAATGATCAATGTTATAAAATAGATGTTTTAACAGTGATATCTGTGCTTTCAACATTAATTTTATACACATCAACTTCATGCGGTGGTGCCGGGAATCCCCCTCCGGAGAATCATATTAAATCAGAACTTTGGGCCAGTATTTTTTCAAAAGCTTTTATTCTCCATGATGCAAATTTTGTTCCTGTTTGGGAACTTCATCACCTCATTTCGGGAAATAGTGTAAAGGTTCAGCAAGGTCAGATTTTGCGGCAATAGTCACAAATCATAATAACTTGCAATTTCCTTTTTTTATTGTTGAATTTGAGAGAAATGGCCATGAAATACACAAGGATAATATTGTAGTTGTAGCTGAAGCAGTATACGAATTCAATCGTATATTGTCATTGTCGCAAAACCCGTCAGAAGAAGAGGTTAATAAAGCGAGAATCCACATTGGTTTGGTTAACGGAACTACCATTAATTTTAGTACAATCAGGCCTATTTATAATCAAGAAAAATCTACATTTATTTATGCTTGTGAGAATAGTGTCCTTTCGTATAATCTCAAGACAGAAGATATTGAAACATGTATACAAAACGTTCTAAGATTGGTGACTTATCTAAGGGAAACCATTTGTGCAGATGGTTTGTTATACAGACATTATTAAATCGGCAACCATCTAGATATAATTATTTATTGAAATCAGCGTTGCCTAAACTACCCGTTGAAGCTGTCAAGTCAAGGATCTCTGAAACAAAATTCACGCCTCGTGTAAAACGGCAACGAAATGTTTGTCCAAGCGAATGAAACATATGAATGATGATGATATCGATTACTATATATCTGAAGAATGCATATAATATAGAAATTTGTGTGTTATGTCGTTCCAATACAGCAAAATAATAATTGTCATTTTGTTGTACGAATAAAATGCACGTGCATCCGGTTAAATTTATCTCCAGAAGGCGCTAGCTTATTTTTCGGATGGTAGAGCTTCAGAAGGAAACGGCGCAGTACCTTCGGGATAATCTAAATGTTTTGGAAAATTATTTTCCGTGATGTTCGGCAAAAAGTACTTTATATTATATTTAGCAGTGATCATTGACGCATGCAGAACACACTTTAAAATAAAATCCGAAGATTAATACATGTTTGAAATACACGTGCAAGAAATTCTATTTTTTCTGATGGTAGAGTCTGGACACCTTGTCCGGGCTCATCAATAATTGTATGGCGCAGTACATTATCGAACTTTCTGCTTTAAGATTTCTACAATTACATAATCGGTTTCATTTCATCTGTCACGTCACAGTGTCCACTCACTTCGTTCATATTCAAAAAGCCGTAAATAATTAATTAGACTGGGCATATCTGGAAAAACAAATGTCTGATGAGCGCATGAAATTTATTATTTTAAATAGGCGGCAATTTTACTAATTTTAACTTTATTGCAGTACATTACAAGAATAGCATGAGGTAATAAGGTAACAAGCAAAAAATAATTACAAATTTCTATGATATGTACATGATGTTTCTATGCCAGTGATTATTATCTAATTTGTAGTCACATTAATCGAGGCAAAATGCGAGAAATCATGTGAAGGCCTTTTCGGAAATAAAAATTCTTCATTGGTATCTTTGTTTTTGAATTCACTCGTTCTTTGCTAATTTGATTCATAATGCAAATTTGCCCAAGAGAAACGGTATGGATGTTCTTGACTTTATTATTATAGATAGGGGGATTAGCCATAGCGGATCTGTATGCTCTTCCAGCAAATGGTCCAAAATAGTTCGTAAAGGCATTTCTATCTATAATTCCAGACCTTTTCGGAATTTCAATATTACAATTTGCAGTTGTAAAGAGGATGAAAAAATCATTTTTTGATGCAGATTTTTCACGCTCTTCTTGGTATTCCTTTTTACTAACTGCTTTTTTTCGCAATTTGAATTGGTAGATTTCATTCGGACTCTCAGTACCCGGCTGATCTAATGAAAGGAAGGAATCTCCATATGGTGAAGCTGGGGCATTAATAATACAATGTTTGAATTGCCGGACATCAACGGTAGAATTATAGCAATCAACACTCCATTCGCTTGCAGTGAGACTTTTAGATTTTGTGTCTGTATGATGTTTTGCAATTTCAAGTCGTAGATTGTGATTTTTAAATTGGATATCACCATTCAAACGTGCTCCCGCATGAATCTCTGAGATCGTTGTTAGCTCATCTTCTTCGATAACAGCTGACATTATACAACGAAATGACGCGACAAAATTTTCAAAACTCTGCCATGACTTCGCTTGCAATGATGTTACTGGATTCAAGAGTGCTCTTTGTTCCACATAATCAGCAAATTCCCAATCTCGAAGTAATGGATCTCCTTCTTCATTAGATATCTCCACAAATATCCAGAGCCAGATGTATGGTGCAGTAATATAACCCCTTCGACTATTCCTACTTAATTGTTCGAATCGAATCAACCCACTCCCAACAAATTCATCTGGTGTTTTGTTAGTTTTAGGAATAGGCTTATATCTATTTAAGATACGTCGAGTCAATATTACTCGTGCAATGGGCCTGGCGTCTTCTACAGAACCAAGAATAGCATCACGGTATTTTTCAATAAGATTATAACGCAGATCATTCATCAAAGTATTGACGTTGCATTCTTCAACGTTACGACCGGCCAAGCAATCATTCAGAACTTCTAGAGCCCTTCCATGCCCTCCACAGTCTTCCACAAGAGTATTAGTAATCTCGTCATTTTTAAAGACAGGGACCAAACTATCTCCTTGTCGATAACTTGGGGATTGTAGAGAAGTGACCGGTAGGTATATACGTTTCCGCGGCGAATATCTCAACGTACCATCAATCGGCCCAGTGATAGTTGAGGTGCAAACGGGTATCACGAAAATGCCACTAAATGCAAGATCTGCGACAGATGTTAGAGTCTTGTAAAACTGAGAATTTAACTTTAAACCATCATCTTTGTTCTCCATTAGTTGTTGCATGCCGTCAACAACCAAAATGACTGTAACGTTTTTCAAGTCTCGGTTATGGTGTTTGGCAATCACTGACACAACATCCAGCGGATCTGGTGGCTTGTATGTCTCGATAATTTCATGAAGCCTCATTTTCTCTCTGAGAAGTTGAAATAACATACGAGTACCAATGGCAAGATAAGGGTGGGATTCATCTGATCGTAAGGCGAAGCCATTCTCATAGCTGACAAGGAATACCCAAGCTTCTTTAATCCTAGCTAACAGCTCATCATCTTCTTGTGCTGACAAACATGTGATTGCCGTCTGGTGGAATTCATTAGCGTTTCGAGATTTTCCGGTACCAGCTCCAGAAAGGAAGAGATATATCGGAAGATTCAATTTGTCAAAGCGCCCTAAAATAAAATTTTCATAATGACTTTTAAGCTCTCTTCGCAAGATCTGCTTCAAAGATGGGTCAGGTTGATATTCCCAATTAGAACCGGAAGTGTAAAGTAAAGGTTCTGGTTTCACATATGGCAAGCCTAGTATATGAATAGTAAGTCCAATTAGTTTCAACATAAGAATGGCGTGTTTTTTGCGGAAATTGGTTAGTACATACCTCCAGGAAAAGCATCAGTGATTTTTTTGCTAACTTCTATATGAATTGATTTTTTTTTGAGGATAAAGTAAAAAAAAGCACAAGATTATGTATTCGATGTTACATAACTAAGACTAAAAAAATAACTAACGAAAAATCAAGCAAACGCACGATCACTCGTGTTGACTAAATTTATTACTCACTTACCAGCAACGGGTTGCTCTACGATAACGCGAAATGTGTTTTTGGGCGGGTTTGACGAGAAGAAGCAGGAAAGAAAGCACATGAATAGTAAGTATTCGGTATTATTGGCGAATATGAAAAGTAATTTTAAGAATATACCAGTTAGGAATTCCTTTAAGTAATTAAGTTTTTCCCTATCATTTGTGAGAGTCGAAATGAGATCCAATATGTCTTTTCTTTGAGTAGCTTCTACAGTGAAAAATTTGCGTAGTTCAGCCTTTTCTTTTTGAGTAAATTCTTGTTCATTGAAAATTGTGTCGAGGCGAGAAAGCTCTTGAGAAAGCGCTACTAAATCTGCAGAAGAAGTTAATGGAGAGGTGCGAGTGGAAGTTGAAGAAGAGGCGTGAGTGGAATCCATAATTATTGCTTTATATGTTTTAAGAAAAAGTTTTTATATCAAGCCAGTATATACTGTATATCAATAATTTAATTTTGTTAAAAAAAAATTACAAAAATAAATGACTCCATGGTTTATTTGATTTTTACATATTTTTGCAATAAATGTATAAATGCTTCAAGCATCGGAAGTGTCATTTTTGCAA